CGTTGCCAATCCATCTAATGGATCCTGGCATGGTTACATGGTTGTCTGACAGACAATATCAATCTTTTTGGTATATGGAAACTGTAGCCAAATTGAAGATGAAGTGTTTGATGAAATGCCTTGATTGTTTCTGGCAGGTTACATGTTGTCCCACGCACAATTTGTTTCTTTTTGGCGAAATTCGAGATGCATAGCAACTGTTCGATGACATGCCTGAACAAAAGCTAAAGATACTCACTTTGATCATGACTTTCAAGCTAAAGATACTCACTTTGATCATGACTCTTACAGGAAAGCTAAAAGGCTGATGTCTAAACATTTTTGTGCAAAAGATACTCTGTATGCTGCTGTTCTATTTTATGATTGATGGGTTTGTCTTACAATGGGTGGGGAATTCTTTGGTGCAAATCACAGCACTAATATATTGTGAAAGATTTTGTGCATTAATTGGAAATGGACAAATGGTGTTATTGAACCCAAAAGGAAAGAGGCTTGACTTCATTTTCCAAAAAGAAAAGGAAAGAGGCGTGGCTTAGGTCTTATTACTGGATATTATACGTTGTGGAGTTATATGAAAATGTGGTCAAATTAGAGATGCAGAGAAATTGTTTGATGAAATGCCTCAAGAAAATTACTTTATTTTATGTTATGTCCGTATGTTTTATGTTTACTTAGATCATGACTCATTTAGGAAGCTAATTTTTATAGAAAGGATACTCTCTGTATGCTGCTGGGCTATCTTATGATTGATGGGTTTACCAAGAAATGTTTAGATTTCTTTTAGGCAAAACTGCAAATTGATAATGATCTTCATGTTAAAGATATCAAAACTTGGTGCGAAATTGAAACATGGATGGACTATGGGGTGAAATTTAAATTTTGTAAATGTGCTTTGAGACCTTTGTTTCATGGTAAATATGATAAATTGACAAAATGTAGATTTTTTTAACAAGAATTATATGTTAGTTTTGGTATACAATAATGTATGTGCTTTTGTTTACTTTGTTATAACTTATAATCAAACAACATGGTTGGATTCTTGTTATATATGAAGTGTACTCACTATTGACACAAGTTTTATACTTGTGTAGAGTTCAAATCCAATGTGTATATGTATTTATGGAAGAAAAAAAAAAAGAATACTCAATAACATAAAATAAAACATTTTTATATATGCTACAAACAAAAGAATCGTTTGATACAAATAAAGTTACAATTTCATCTTTGATTCGACTTCTGTTACATTTTTATATATATTTAGGTTGAGTGATTCAAGGAACATTAGAACTTGCTGTGGTTTTGTGCCAGAATTTAGGCGGCCTTTCTTGAAAATCCGGTGGTCGCCGGAATATGAGGGAGGCGGCAGCTATCAAGATTCCGGCGGTTAGAGCCCATATCACATACACCCTGTTATTTGTTTCATAGTAAAAATATTGAAGCCAATATTTGTCTCCTCCATGTTCTCTCTCTTCATGTCGTCTGTTTTCATCCTGAATCAGTAATCTTTTGACTTAATTGACTTAATGAGAACATTACTTATTCCAATAGTTATATATGAATGTTTTGTTTTTGACATTGAAAAAAAAAAAAAAAAACTTAATAGAAGAGAAAAGCAGGGATATTAACCTTGAGAAACATTTCTAAAGGGGCATAGAATATAGATTCCACTTCTCCAGCATTTGGAATCGGATTAAATGCTTGTTTATCCCATAGTATGCCCATCACTGGAACTACTGTAACATTCTTCTGCCATTACAATCAAATAGTTGTCAATAGAGGCCTTAGTCAAGTGTAGATGCCATAAAAGTTATTGGGATTCTTACAAAACGTTATTTCAAGACAAAACAGATAACAAAAGTTCATTTAAAGTAAACACATTAAGCTCCTATTTGCACAATTTCCAAATAAAATTCAACATCTATTTCATATCGAAATAAAAACTGGAGAAAATAATCTTACCTTGGTTACAAACGGTTCAAGAACAGTAATAACATCTACAAGGGTGGGATCCAAGCCAATTTCCTCTTCAGCTTCCCTCAATGCGGTTCGAATATCATCTGTATCCTCTTCGTCCGTTCTACCTCCGGGCAATGACACTTCCCCTGAAAAACGAAACCAAAACGAATTCATTTCAAGGTTTCGATTTCATCGAACTCCTAAAGTGCACGACTTTCTTTACCAGAGTGAGATGACAGCTTCGATGATCGTTGGGTTAAAATAACATAGATATCATCTCCTTCCTCGAATAGACATATTAGAACTGCAGCTCGGTTGGGTCTTTTGGATCTTTCGGATTGGTTGGATTGACCAATTGAGGGGTCATCCGGAAGAGGGGAAACGGACTTCAATTGACGAAATCGTTGAGACAAGTCAAGTAGCTTCGGTGATCTTGTAAAGTTGTTGGATTCCATGATCAAGATTCAACCCAATTACTTGTGATGGTAACTGGTAAGTTATATGGGTTAATGGGCAACGTTGTTGTGTGGTGACGCAAAGTAGATGTATATTTTTTCTTTGGTAATAAATAATAATGTAGGTGTTATACGTAACAAAGAAAATTTGATAAAGTAGATGTGTTCGATCTTTTTTCTTTGTTAATAAAGTAGGTGTTATAATATGTAACACCTGTTATGACTGTTAATTGCTCCCATATTTCTTTAATATCAATAGCATTAAAAAAAGATTTTGATTTTTGATTTTATTTATTTATTATTATTTATATTATTATTATTAACTTTTTTCAATAATATTCTTTTATGTTGCACAAAAAAATGTTAAATTTATACGGTCATTCAAATATATTCAGTCGCTGAATAATTGACAGACGTTCAAATTATTATTGATATTAATTTTTTTTCCAATAATAATAAATATTAGTTACTAATTGAAATTATTATTGATATTAATTTTTTTTCCAATAATAATAAATATTAGTTAATAATTGAAAGCAGTTCTAAACTTCATGGACCATTTATGTAAAATTAGTTAATAAGTGAGTATTATACAAATCTTTCTCTTTGAGTTCATTGTTGTATTTATACATCCACTACCTTTGAATGCTTAGAAATACTTAAAAATATACGAGATGACGTCCGACATTTTTCAAATAACAAATTTTAGGAAAACTTGTGTTGTAGATTTGTATGTTGGAAATGGTTTAACATACATTTACTTCTACATATGGTTTCAATTGTATTAATACTCTAATGTACATAGACAATGATATAAGTTGTAGATGCTGGATTGGTCGGTTCTCCATTGGAGTTTTGTCAAGTTTAGTTTGGACAACAATCATATGTGGGTACGTAATGCATGGTCTTGCCCATCTTTCAGAATCTCTTTTCCTTGGTAAGCCATGGTCTAAGATGTGATGTCATAACATTCATTGGAGTTTTGTCAGGTTTAGTTTTTTCTTTCCAGTGAGATAACTTGTTTTGTTCCATTTTATCATGTTTAGAAAAGAGTATTCCTTTCGTGTTTTTGTTTTTTTTCCTTTCCTGTAAACCTGTAATCATTTCTAGATTAGGGGCATTATAGGAATTTTTCCTGTTTCTGTGACAGTCTTGAAAAGGAGGGTAAAATGGGGATATCACTATGCATGAATTTACTAAATGACCGGTTGATTAAGAGCATCCGGTAACAAAACATTAAAATAATAAAGTTCAGACAAAATAATGGTTAAATAGTACAAAAAAATAATTGAAGGGGTTTTTTAAAGCACTAACCTATAATACATAGGGTTTTTTCGGGGTTTTCCTAAGTAATATGTCAAAGATATGAAAGGATATAAAGGTGGACCCTCATTGTTTAGAATTAAAGTTTTAACTAGTTATGTATATTCCAAATGGTAAAAAAGAAAAAAAAATGTCTAAAAGAAAAATATAATAATTTGTGATTAAAAATAAGGTAAACTGCTAATGATTTCGGGTTTATAGAATGACCAAATACCTAAAAACTTGGATCCTAGAAGGTGGGTTAACACAAAAACCAAACGGTAGGATGCAGAAATATACTAAGATAACAATGTTTAATAAACAAACAAACAACAATAGGAGAGATAAGAGATTTAATGTGGTTCCATAACCAAAGAGGCACATCCACAAGAGAAACGACATCATATATATTGCACAATCAAAGAGGGATTACAACACTTACTAGGTGTACATTGGATAATCAAAAGCAAGAAAAATTGACAAAATCATCTTACATACAAACTAAAAGAACTAGCCCTAAAATTTTGTAAAATTCAACACTTAAATGAAAAACAACCCAAATATCTACTTCGCGACTACTACTAGTCAAGTGGCCAATTAATTATTAATGTGAAAATCTCCACTTGAATTGGCGGCGAAATGGTGATTGTGGTCTGATCATAAAAACCCAAACCACAACTACTTGAAGTGGTCGACAAGTATCGAATTAATGTGTCAAGAACTTCTCCTATGATCTTCAAAGCAGTTGTATCTAGATGCATTACAATATAATGTGCAACAAACTTTTGTCATTTTGTCGTGCAACTAAAGTCAAAGGATAACATTTTCTTTATTTATATTTCTAAGTCATCTAATTCTTTTTCATAAATACCAAGTCACTTCAGCAACACAAAGCTCCACTTAATTCATTCATTAACTTGTTGATTTAATCACGTGACCTACTACACATTGTACGAAAAAAAAAGTTGAAATAAATAGGACAAATCGAAAGTTATTTTGCTATTATGACTTTTTGAAAATACATATGGACGTTGATCAAACAAATAGACACAATGAAATTTATTAGTGCAATGTGTACTTTTCAACAAATCTCTTAAATGATCAGGGTGGGACACGATTTCTAGTGTATTCACATTTACAAATATAAGAAAGACAAAAAAATTATTCCATACAATGAAGTTACAATTTAATCTTTTGATAACTACAAAGTTACAATATTATCCTCACAAAATTATATCAATTTGTCGATTAAATACTTACCTACAACAAATGATTTATGTTGATACTGATTGGGGGACCCACATTATAATTTGCCGTGGTTTCTGTTCCAAAATTTAGGCATCCTTGGTTGAAAATCCGGTGGTCGCCGGAACACCAGGGAGGCGGTGTCTATCAAGATTCCGGCTGTTAGAGCCCATATCACATATACCCTGTCGTTCGTTTTGTGATAGAAATAGTGATGCAAGAATTTCTCTCCCCTGTGTTCTATCTCCTTCTCTCGTCTATTTTCATTCTGAATCACCAAAATTCAAAATCCCATTTTCAAGAACATGTCGCTGCTACTTTTTTGACTTAAATAGAAAAAGGAATGAATTACAAACCTTGAGAAACATTTCCAAAGGAGCATAAAAGATTGATTCTACTTCTTCAGGATTTGGAAGTGGATTGAATGCTTGTTTATCCCATAGTATTCCAATCACTGGAACCACACTAACATTACCCTGACATTAATAAATCAAATAGTCAATTTAATGCTTCGAAGAAATTCATATTGGAATAAATTTTTTACCTTGCTTCCAAAGGGTTCAAGAACAGTTACAACATCAACAAGGGCAGGATCCAATCCAATTTCCTCCTCAGCCTCCCTCAACGCGGTTCTAATATCATCTGTATCGTTTTCGTCTCTTCTTCCTCCAGGCAAAGACACTTCCCCTGCAAAAACAAAGGAGAACGACCTTCATTTCATTTGGGCATTTCATCAAACACCTAAAGTGCACGACTTTCTTTACCAGAGTGAGACGACAGGGTCGACGATCGTTGGGTTAGAATAACATAGATATCGTCTCCTTCCTCAAATAGGCAGATTAGAACTGCAGCTCGGCTGGGTCTTTTCAGTCGTTCAGATTGGGTTGATTGATTGCTTGAGGAGTCAACTGAAAGTTGGAAAACGGACTTCGTTTCACGAAATCGTTGTGACAACTCCAATAGCTTCTGTGATCTTATAAAATTATTGGAATCCATGAACAAGATCTACCCAAATAGTGAAAAATGATCCTCTCGTTCTCTTTGGTGGCGAGTTTTTTTTGGCTAATGGATTGGTCAACGTTGAAATATGGATGACAAAGTCACAATAAAAGAAAGGAAATTCTCAGTGTCCCGGAAAATGGAAAAATGATTTATAAGCCTATCGATCTTCGTTGTTTTATTCGTATTAAGGTATATTTTTTTATAAATTCAATTATTTAACTTATTATATATGTTTATATATTAAACATTGTCATTGACTATCTCAAACATGTAAACAAGTTAAATGATTAAATATGTACAAAATAAAAAAAAAAAAAAAAATTATCTAAATATAAACAAAACGAAAAATTAAATACTCCGACAAGTTATTTTCCTCACTTTTAATAGTGATTTTATTTTTTATATTTGTCTGTATTATTTTTTTCAAAAATTATTTTTAAAGTATCCATAATGCCTTCAATATTAATTAAATATTGATCAATTCTAAACTTTACTTTTTTAATTAAAAATATATTTTTGTTTTGTGACATATTTTATATAGCCTCCTATATTTTATTTTTTACTTTTTTAAGCATATATAATATTTTTAAAATAAATAGTATCTAACAATAAAATTAAATAAATTAAATATGTAACAATAAATGTGGAGGATCTTTTAAAAAAATAAAAAAATATTACGTAGCAAATAAAAAACAAATCTATATAATGTAAATGTTTTAAAACTATTACAACTTTTAATACTTTTTAATAAGAAGCTTATAAAATTTTAATTTTTTAATATGTTATTTTAAACTAGTATTTAACGAAAATATTTAAAATGTAATAAAAAAATATTAAATTATCATACAAAATATATGAAACACTTTAAAAATGTTGTAAAAGAAGTTTAGAAATAATTATATGAAATTTATAAAAAAGTTGTATGAAAATGTAAAAAAAAAAGTTAAAAACTTGTAAGAAAAAATTTAAAAATTTAGAAAAGTTTAAAACATTGTATTAGATAAACCTATAGTAAAAAAATATCATAAAAATATTGTAAGAAATTAAAAAAATTCTTAAGAAATTTATAAAAAAAAAATAAAAAATAAAAAAATGTTCATATTTTGGCAACTTTTTTTTGTATACATTTGACCATTTAACTTGTTAGATGTGTTCACATATTACCATTATTACCTGTTATACCAAGTGACTATGATAATATGTGAACACATTTAAAAGTGAAATAATCAAATGTGTACAAAAAAATGCCTAAACATGAACAAAACGAAAAAGTAATTATCATGGCAAGTCATTTTCCCTAGGTACCAAATTCAAATTCTTTGTACACCTCTTTGGTTTTGTGGCAAGTTTTTTAGGCTAATGGAATGGTCATGTTGGATAATTTATTTTGGGATAATGATTTTAAAAAGTAATATATTTTTTGATTTTTATATATTTGGTCAATGAGTTTTTTTTTGTTCATATTTATCCCTACAACTTGTTAAACCATACACATTCAATTCTTATGACCAACTACTGCAGGTAAGTTGGAAAAATGACTTCATAGGGTAACATATTTCTTAATTTGTACACATTTGGTCATTAATATTTGTTTGCATATTTAGTCCTTAATATTTTTTGTTGCAAAATAAATCTTTATTGTTTTTGTACACATTGACTTATGACCGATTTTTTTTAGGTTTTCTCACGACATCCTACATATGACAATCATTAATGAGATTTTTGGAGCTAATGATGCTTATGGCCACCTCGATCTCGGCTACTTGTGTAACGTCCCAAAAATACCGAGTAAAAATTTCATTTTAAATACGTTAAAGCCATTCATTCATTGTTCCAAAAGAGGATTAGAGTCAAAGTATTCTCAAAACATTAGAGAAATTTGTAAACATTCAATGCAGAATAAAACTCCAGGGGATACAGTGCGAACAAACCGAGCCCTTCCTTTTGAAAATGAAAGTACTTGAAACCATAAGCATAAACTGTAAGCACGAAGCTTTATAAGTTCCCCAAAGTACCACATATAACAGTACGTGGTTGTGTCAGGTCTGTATCAACCCCACATGACAACATGTAATTGTGTCGGGTCCATATCAAACAATATGACATCAAGTAACTATGTCAGGTCCGTATCAACCCCGATTCCATAATGACTATATAACACCACATAGCCGTGTCTGGTCCGTATCAACCCCACATACATAAAATATGTAGTCATATCAGCAAGATTCACAAAGACAACATGCACATAAAAGCATATCGGTAAGTGTCAGAAAGACCGTTACTATCCTACAACATAATCAAGTGGGTCGGCATTGGTACCATCGTACCACAAGCACAGTAAGGAGACTCACCTCTCAATTGGAAAAATCGTTGAATAGGACACTGCTCTGAATATCAGCTCTACTGGTCACCTATTCATTGGAACATGGCCAATCTTAACTTACAATCAATATACCCAAAATACCCCTAGGTTAAACTCCTGGTCAAAGTCAAAGTCAACCGTGTCAACTCGATGAGTACGATGGGTGTACTCAACAAGTATCTAGGGCGTACAACACGTTTGACTAGAGTCGACCGGCTGACCACGTACGCGCAACGTACCCTTTGGTACGCACAGCGTACGCGACTGCCACCCTTTCTTCCCATTAAGAGCTTAATCCTTAAGCTCTTTCATCCAAAAATACAGATCTAGCCCTCAAATGATGTTCTCAATCATAAAGTTTCAAACTTTATGATCCTGCATGGATATTAAGTGCTCAATACCAAATATCCTAACTTCTTAACTCTTTAAGACATTCTAGCTCATGCATGGAAGGAACCTAAGGTCCAAGATTAAACTTTTATGGTTCCTAACAACTCCATAATGGATAAAGTTCCCAACTTTATCCATTAGAATGATTCAAACAACCAAGATCTAGTCTTTAAGTCTTAAATGGAACAAAAGTGCATCTTTTTCAACTTAATCCATTAAGTCAAAGTCTCCAACCTTTAAATTTTAATCAATATGATGTTTAGATGGATAAAGTTTCCAATTTTATCCATAACAAGGTCACAAACTTTCAAGATCTAAACTTTATGCACTAAAGTGACCAAAAGCTAACAACACCCAAAACTAGCTAGATCAAACAAATGCATCATCAAGGTTCAAGCTTTATACCTCTAGAAGAAAGATCAAGGTGAAAAAAAATCTGGATTTACAAGCTCAAATGCAACCAAGACTTCTCCAAAGAGCTCATTCTTCTCCAAGATGCACCAAGAACACTCCAAAGCACTCAAGAACACCTTATTTTGCTCAAAAGGATCAAACTAGGGTTAGGGTTTTCAAGGGAGGGTGTTGGAGATGTAGAGGCTAAGAATGGAATAGGTTTGGGGAAGTTAAGGACCTTAAATAGGGCTTAAACCACACAAACAGGGTTTTGGCACTGATCGCGTACGCCGAGTGTACTCCTGGTACGCCCAGCGTACATCTTGTACACCCAACATACTAGACTAAGTCCAAAACCTTCCTAATTTCTATTGGTCATAACTTCTTCGTTCCAACTACGTTTTCGATGATCTTTATATCCACGAAAAAGTATTGAGGAGCTCTACAACCCTATCTAACTACTTTTGACTTGAACGTTTTTATTATAAAACCGTAAGTAAAAATATATTCCCTTTTAACGAGAGTAATCTTAACGAAAGTTGTAGTAAGCTCAAATACAAATGTGTGGACATAAAAATCGTTAAAATCCGAGATCGTATGAAGAAGTTATGGCGGTCAAACACAACACCTAAGCCAAACCACAAGACCTAAGCAACCAAGTAGCCGATGCCACGATGAACATAAACATCAAAAACCCCACACACCTCATTAATGATTGTCCCACGTAAGATAACATGAGAAAAACCTAAAGAAATCAGTCATAAGTGCTGAACGTGTACAAAAACAACAAGGACTTATTTTGCAACATGTAACATCCTAAAAATAATAAATAAAAAATTCATTTTTAAACCACCAAAAACCATACAATCAATTGTTCTAAGCCAATCAATGTATAAATTATTCTCAAACAACAGAGTAAATCAATAGATAGTGCAAAATAAATCTCTGGGGGATGTAGTGCTATCAAGTCGGACCCTTCCCTTTCAAACCAAAAGTACCTAAGACATTTTAAACATAAAACCGCAAGCATAAAGCTTAATGAGTTCTCCAAAATACCACATACCATACATAACATCGGGCCCCACTGATCAGACTAACGGGCCCCACCCACATAACGAACATCGCCCAAATAGTGGTCCCCACCCAACACACATGCAAGAGTCACAAATACAATCTAACATCCTACATAGTATAGCGAGCAAAATCACCTCACACTCGGATCAGATCAACCACAACTCGAACTGACAAGAGACTTGTGCTACAACCTACCTATCGAAATAATCAAGGTTATCCCTTAGTCTGTACTCTAAGCTAGCCATTTGATCAAAAGTCAACGATCAAAGTCACCCCAGCCGACCTCCACGTCATGGCCACCCATTGTCCACGTCGTGGCAGCTTCACGACAAAGCAGGCATGACCAGACCAGCCACCACGTCATGGCAAGCATGCCACCATGTCATGACAAACAAACATAAAGAACTTAACGGATTAAGCTCTTACCCTTTTACCCAAAGTTCCAAAGCTCATATCTAAATCTCCTCAAGGTCTTAATAAATAAAATTTCAAACTTTATCCTTTAAGACATCCCAATAAGTCAAAATCTCAAATCCTAAGTGTGACATCCCCATTTTCACGGCCAGAAAAGACCAATTTTGTTTATGATTTATAAAAATCAGAGTACCCCTTTTAATAAAAATGTTGCGGAATTTGTTCCCAAAATAAAATATGATAGAGATTTATCAAAGCATTTCCGAAGAAATGTGTTTCATTATACTAAAACGTCGGGATGTCAAGTTTGATACAGATCAAAAGCATAAACAGTACAATATAAGCCTTACAACATTTATTCATATCTACAGGCCTATAATCCCTTATCCCTCATCAATTCATCCGACTATGCTCTCGTTCCACTACCTGTAATACATGAAACTGAGTGGGTCAAACTTGGGAGCCTGGTGAGCACATAAGGTTTTCAACCCACAATAAATAAATTTATTATTTTCAT